GAAAAGCTAAAATGAACTGGGATGGTGGCCCACACATTTAACACCAGCAGCACTCTGGAGGCAGGGGCAGCCAGATCTCTGTGTTCAAGGCCAACTCTGTCTACGGAGTTCCAGGACAGCCAGGACTATACAGAAAGACTCTTGGGGGGGGGGGGGGGGAACGGACGGGGACGGACACAACAACAACAACAAAAAGATAAAGTTAAAATAAAAGTGGCTAAACTAAGACAGAAATCACCTAATCAAAGCCTTCCTCTTTTAACTTTCAGCTTCATCAAACACTGGGATATGAAGTCACAATACTAACCCTCTACTCACTCACTTCCCAACTCAAAACTACATTAGAGAAGGGGTTTGCTGCCTACACTAATGTTGTTTAGTTTGAGATCTCACAGTGAAAAGATAAATAACTGTTGTAGGATATTATTTTAAAATGTGTTATATTTGTTTATGCTGTGGAACATCTGTTAGATGATGCAAAGCTGTGTTGCATTCTTTTATGTTGCGTTTGTTTAACTCTGTGAAGCTGTGTTACTGTGCCTGTCTAAAACACCTGATGGTCGAATAAAGAGCTGAGCAGCCAAAAGCAAGGCAGGAGAAAGGACAGGCAGGGCTGGCAGGCAGGGAAAATAAAGAGGAGGAAGATCAAGGAGCAAGAGAACAAGGAGAGAAAAAAGAAGGGGCCAGCCATGGAGTAAGAAGAAAAGGAAAAAGCCCAGAGGCAAAAGGTAAACAGGATAATTTAAGGAAAGCTGGCTAGAAACAAGCCAAGCTAAGGCCAGGCATTTATAAGTAATAAGCCTGTGTGTGTGATTGATTTGGGAGCTGGGTGGTGGGCCCCTAAAGAGTCCAATGAGTAAAAGCAACCAACTACGAGTACTAGGATGCATTTCCGTGGCACCACACCTGGCTTGGCATGTGCAAGTTCTAGAGTCAACACCCCAACACTGCAAAAACAGAACGAAGTTCCTAGGCAACTTAAGAAAGCAAGTTCCAGGGACTGGGCAAATGGGCCTGTTATTAAAAAGAAATCAGGAGGCAGAGCCAGGTGGATCTCTGTGAGTTCGAGGCCAGCCTGGGCTACCAAGCGAGTCCCAGGAAAGGCGCAAAGCTACACAGAGAAACCCTGTCTCGAAAAACGAAAAAAAAAAAAAAAAAAAAAAAAGAAATCAGTCGGTAAAGTGCTTGCTACACATGCACATGAACTCGAGTTTGAACCCTAGATCCCACCTGAAAAGGCTGCTCTGTGGCCAGTAAGATGGCTCAGCAGTTAAAGGATCCTGCTACCAAGCCTGTCAACCTGAATTCGATCCCCAGAACCTACATGGTAAAAGAGAACTGATTCCCAAAAGCTGTCCTCTGATTTCCATTTGGGCACTGTGGCACGTGCACATAAGCAATAAGTAAATGAAGTAATAAAATAAAAGCTATGCTTGGTCAGTGGGAGCTCGCAATCACAGGGGTGAGTGGGGGTGGGTGCACGCACTCACTAACTGCCAACCTACCCTACCTGGCAAACTTCAGGCTAGTAAGGAAGGAATCCTGTCTCAAAAATCAGGATGGGTGATAAGTAAAGAACTATACACCTGAGGCTGACCTCTGGCCTACACACACACACACACACACACACACAAAATGAAGCTAGGAAACAATCTGCAGACCAAGAGCACTGCCATGACGCAACCATTCAGCCTTTTCACCCTACATGGCCGGCCTCACCTCGAAAAGGAAACACTGTTCACCTCACAGTATTAGAAAACTTAGAAATCATTTGGGCTCAGTCCCTAGCAAAAAGTAGGTATTCAGTGAACAGCAACACCTGAGTAGAGACAGTTCTAACTCTCCCTGTGGCAACACTACAGTGTTAAACTAGTTTCCTCAACACAAATGTTTGTTTACAGGCAAGTCTGAGTAAAGGAATGCCTCCAAAGTACAAATGAGTCCCACTGAAGCCAGGAGTCACCTATGCGGGGTGCAGAGAAGAACTCGGTGGCTGGAGGAGGACAGCTGCCACTTCTCGGCAGCTCTGGTGCCAGTCCTGCTTTGCACAGGCTGAGTAGAGTGAGATGGGAACACAACTTCAACACACACTCAGCTTCTCTCAGGCCACACACCTCTTCCAGGGTGGAGTTCTTTGTCCCAGGAAGTGGGATTTTAAGAAATGTAGTCTTTGTATAAAAAGCTTTTCAACGGGCTGGAGAGATGGCTCAGAGGTTAAGAGCACTGGCTGCTCTCCCAAAGGTCCTGAGTTCAATTCCCAGCAACCACATGGTGGCTCACAACCATCTGTAATGAGATCTGGTGCCCTCTTCTGGCCTGCAGGCAGACATGCAGGCAGAATAGTGTATACATAAATAAATAAATCTTTGGAAAAAAAAAAAAAGCTTTTCAACAAGCCACCTCCTTCACATGGTTCTCAACCAGAACACAGCCATCTAGTCTACTCTGGAAGGAAAATGGGCTCATAACTACGACACTGACAGCACTTCACTCCATAAGCCAGCACAGGGGTTTCATGGGCAGGGCAAACTGTACAGGATTTTCCTTTCCTGGGAACACAAAGGGTACATCCATCCAATACCATGAAGACAACCGGAGGAAGAATTCAGGAAATGCCCAGCCAGCCAAACCACAGAAGTGGGTACCTACATGACCACACCCACTTCTTCTTCCCTGTGGTCCAAACCAGTCGTTAATAAAACAGGGACAGGTGTGGTCACCACAGGCATCTAGAATTCAAGCTCCCATCTAACTCTTCCACTTTACTACTAAGCAATCCTCCGGTTCTTCCAGAGCCAAGAAACAACAGCAATCCCCCACACAGAACTGCAGGCCAATCTTTCCACATGGTTTTCCTCAGAGCTTCTGTCAGTGTTGAGCTGAAAAATCACTGCAAGAAATGATGGCTGTCCATCAGCTGTGCGGTCCCTGCCTATGCACCTTCAGCAACACATTCCCTTTGTGCTTGCTGCGGCAGCACCACCTGCACAGAACAATCGACCTTTTCTCCTCTAGACCTGCAGTTTCATATTTCGGTTGTCTGAAAGGGGGTCAAAAACAGCAATCCACAGCACGGGAGAAAACAGAGAGCCACTCCTCACATCCTCTATAAACACTGCTGCACATGGTGGCTCCTGCCTGTGATACCTACATTTGGAAGGCTAAGGCAGGAGGACCATGAGCTCAAGGCCAGCCTGGGCTACATATCAATACTTAGTCATGCACACACATACAGAAAGTCCTTGATTGGTGTTTTATAACAAAGCTAGTAAGGTAGAAAGTGGAGCATGTAAATAATTTAGACTTAGAAGCAAATAAATACATGAAAGTTTCACATCCAAGTCCCTGATCCAGCCACAGCGACTCTCAGACTTGTGAGCACGCTATCAGATAGTCTCTAACTTCACTAAACCACACTGACAGTGTCTATTCCTTACGAAATATAACTGGGAGCATGTTTATTTTATGTGTTTTGTGACAATTATAAACTAGAGCTAAAGCATAAACATTGTGGTATCAAATCTATGTCTCCGGGAGCATCAAGAGACACTGAGTTTCTGTGTAATTCCTAAGCTAGTAGGGAACTCCTACAAAGCTTCAAAAGTCTACTCTACTGTTGACAAGAGACAGTCCATGATGAACACATATGTTCAACATAGCTACTGTTTTTCAGGTCTAAAATATATGAAATCCTTAATAAGTAAAACATGCTGGTTAGAATCAGAGGCATCTAAGCTAATGCTGGCCACAATAAAGCTGCTCTCCCTATAGAGCAAGGACCACCCATGCAAGTGAAGAAAACACATACCTCAAAAGATCTATTTAGTTGAGATAAAGCCACAAAGCTTAAGGTTCCGGCGAGTATTTAAAACTGCAGCTTGTGAAGTGAAGAAATTCACCCACAGCTTCCCGCCACTCAAAACAGAGTCAAGATGAAGCCTCAACAGATATCATTGTTTCTTCTCATGCCCTGCCAATCAGGATAGAGCTGCGCTTTAAGCTAACTTAGAAGTAAACAGTGAACCAATAACACAAATGGATTTATGCTAACATGGAAGTAACCAGTAACCCCAGTCACATGAGTCAAAGGAATACATAGACTGACAGACATATACCCAGCTCTCACCACCACAGTAATTCAATGTCACCTTACACTGAAATGGATAATACCCACCACTAATGGCTATTACCCTTAAATACCCAGATTTCAAACTAAAAGTTTAGACAGCAAAACAACACATTAAGATTCCCAAATTAAAATTTAGCAAAAGAAATCTACGTACTCCATCAATCTACTCTTTACCTAGATGTCACCTATGTGACCTACAATCTAGCCTGTAGTCCTAACAGAAATTCCTATTACTAAGGCAAAGCAGTCAATACTTGAAACAAGCTCTCTCTCTCTTCATCAAAGAACTGATAAGCCTGTCCCCAACTCTACAGACTTCAAATTTCCAAAACACTGTTTTCTGTGAAGCATTGGGACTGTAGTCACTCACTTGTGACAACACAGAACTCACGCTGACCTGAGATGCAGGTAGATCAACCACCAAATGCAAGATGCCAGGGGCAAGAAAACACAGCATACACTCATGCTGCTTTAGTGAAGTCACGTGCGCAGTTTACAGCTCTTAGCACAAGCCAAGCACACCAGCGACAGGTCAAGACACATTCGTTTGTGTCAACTCAAGATTAAGAATTCTTTTCAGCCGGGCAGTGGTGGTGCACACCTTTAATCCCAGCACTTGGGAGGCAGAGGCAGGTAGATCTCTGTGAGTTCGAGGCCAGCCTGGTCTACAGAGCTAATTCCAGGACAGCCAGGGCTACACACAGAGCAATCCTGTCTTTTTTTTTTGGGGGGGGGGGGGGGACCTCTTTTCATTGACAATTTTCTTCTTCAAACTATTGAATTTAAAGCTAATACAAAGTAGCTCTACGCAAAACATCCTCAAGAATTCACCCATAAGATAATATGCCCTTAAGAATTGAAGTGTATCTACCTCATTAGTGTTCCAGCGGTGCCTCTCTTTGGGTAAACTTGAACATTTCGGCAGACATTCAAGCAGCTTTTTCGGTAAAAAGATTTTTACATGACTACTATTGCTGTTCCCATGATCATCTATAAAGAAGAAAACAATAAATTCAGAGAAAGAGAACGCCTCCTTCAAGTACACTGACAATGTCAGAAACAGCCCAAGAACAGCAGGAGGCCCCTAGTCCTCCGAGTTCCTCCTCTACACACTCTCAGATGGATGGCAGCAGGAATCTGCCTGTGGGCTCTGATAGACTGAGCTTTACTCCACCACAAGTGAGCAAACAGGAAGTGCCCCAGAGCAGCCCAAAATCAGATTACTTTAAAGGCTCTTTCAGTGTTTCCAAGAAACATCAAAATCACAAAATGATTTAACCTCACGAAATCCAGAAACTGTTTATTAACCAAGTTAAAGGTTTCATGGTTTTTAACTTTGAAGAATTATAATTACATGTGACTTTTATTCATAAACTAAACATTACTTTGTCTCCTATAATACAAATGGGACTTATTCTTTCTAAAGGAAACCACAGGCTCTTATAAGGAATTTAAGCCTGTGGTTAACTAACAAGTAATACAGAAGCTGGCCTTTCTAAGCTGTACCTTAAAAATCTATCACTTTAATTAAGTTGATTTTCATGCACCTATCAGCATAATTAATATAGTTCATCAAATGTAGCTCCTTCTAAAGGAGTCAGAGAATTCATTACTTTTAGACTAGAGAGCAAGTCTGACTACCTGATGCTTCCTAGATCATTTCTTTATATAGCATTTATTTCCATCATGTATTTACATATCATTTACTTTTTCACTCCTGTAAAGCAATCCCTTTCCCTTCCTCCAAATTCCTTGCCATTTGTGGCAAATTCCGGTCAGAGCTTCAAATTACCCACTCCAATTTTTTATACGGAATGAAGTCCCCAGTCTACACCTGAGTCCTGGGGACAGCACATTACAACGTTAGACTCGAGCTGTTCCAGTCAAGGGCTCATCAGCTTTTACAGTGTCAACAAGACATAAGACAATACACACACACCCGGAGTGGACAGCCCACACCTGTGCAGGTTCTGCTTCTTTCTGCCTGTGTGACCTTGGGTAAGTTACTCAGTGTTTCCAGTTTCTCCACATCATGAATCAGAGAATTAGGGATCATTTAATTCTCCCTAAAGTAAAATTTCTATAAAATTTAAGGTCCTTCAGCAACAGTATGCCTTACAAGTCAGCAGCCTTACAGAGGTCTACAGGTACTGCTTGAATATGAAATGAAATACAGCAGTTATTTATCCAGTTATTTTTGTACTTCTATTTAATACTGTTTTTTGAGGGATAAATAAAACAACAACAAAACTTTTCTAAGGTCACAAAATTCTCACCCAAATATTTCTCATCTGATTAGACTGTTTCTTCTTCTCATGGAAAAAGTCAGAAGTAAATATTGGGTACAAAAACAGTCTGAGAAAATCTACTATACTACATCATATAGAATGTTTTATAGGGATTAACTTGAGAGTCTTAGCCTACTAACTCTTTTTTGGTCCATGAACTACACAGTTGTGCATGTCTATAGCAGTAAAAACCTTGTAATACTGCTCTTAGGAGATCTAAAATTGTAAGTTAATACCAAATTAAGATTCAACTTAAAAATATTGCTCAAAATCAAAAGGAAATAAACTAAGAAAAAGTTGATAGGACATTCTTATTAATTGCTTACTATAAAGCCTTTATAATCACATGTGCTCATGCATGCTCCCTACACTTCATCCCCCAGGGAGGTACATGGGTCATAAAACTTTAAAGCACAGAAGTCAGAATCACATGAGGTTTTACCTTCCTGCTCTCTATCCCTAATGTGGTTTATTCTCTCTCTTAAAAAAATAATAATAATAATAATGTGACATACACAATTTTGAAAGTAGAGGTGAAATTTGAAAATCTATATTCTATTCAATATATATGGGGTATCTTTTATAGAAACAGCACTAGGCTAGTACTCAGTATACAAACAGTCATCTTCCTGAGAAAGCTATCTGAAGCAGAACAGAATATTAAAACCTAGTTTGTATTTCTATTTGTGGTCACAACCAATGCTAAATTTCTATCCCTTCAGTTTCTTTCAGAAACCTGGCTGCCAGGCTGGAGAGATGGCTCAGAGGTTAAGAGCACTGACTATTCTTCCAGAGGTCCTGAGTTCAATTCCCAGCAACCACATGGTGGCTCACAACCATCGGTAATGAGATCTGGTGCCCTCTTCTGGCCTGCAGGAATACATGCAGGCAGAATACTATATACAAAATAAATAAATCTTTAAAAAAAAAAAAAAAGAAAGAAAGAAACCTGGCTGCCAGCAGAGAGGAGAAGGAAGGGGAGAAGGATAGAGACGGAGAGGGGGAGAGGAGAGAGGGGGAGAGGAGAGAGGGGGAGGGGGGGGGGGGGGGAGGGAGGGGGGGCGGAGGGGGAGAGAGAGAGAGAGAGAGAATAAGAACAGAATGGAGTGTGTATAAATGTGTGTGAGAAAGTTGAGTATGTGTGAAAAAAATGTTGAATGTGTCAGAGAAATGTGTATGTGAGAGAGAAAGAGAACACTGAGTCTGTGTGAGACAAATGTGTGAGAGAGAATGCTGAGTGCATGAGTGTGTGTGAGAATGTTGACTGTGTATCAATGTGTGAGAATGTTGAGTGTGAGTGTGTGTGTGTGTGTGTGTGTGTGTGTGTGTATGAGAGTTTGTGTGTATGACTGTATGTGTGTGTTCTTATTCTCAATAATGCAACTGCTTGAGGAAAAGCTTCAGGCTTCCACTCTGACAGCAGCTGAAACAGTGGTGAGTGGACCCAAAGGTAAATGTTTAAAGAGGAAAGCATGATGCTATGTGAGCACTGTCTCAATCAAGTTTCCACCATAGCTCTCCAAAGGACTGTGCAGCAAGGGTTGTATGACAGGCCAGCAGGTCCCCTTGCTCTGTTTTTAAACTGCACCATTTCCTTAATTTTAGGTTCATGCTGAACGTAAGCCAGGTGTTCTTAGGAACCATCATGATGGTAAATGCCCTTCTCCCAGCTTAGGGAAAAGCAAGTTCAATACTGGGTAGAGTCAGACCTCAGGAAGGATAATGCTAAACTCATACTTCACTCTTCAGGGCCAATTCTAGTCACCTAGAAGCACATGGCCCTGGGTTCAGTTCCCAGCACCAGGAGAAAATAATCCACTTCAGTGTTTCTGGTTAAAGCACAGTAATAAAAAACTTTGTTTTTATATTAGAAAATAACTGTTCACATAGTGATACTGCATAAAAATATTTTTAATTAAAAGCTGTTTAATGTTTTTAGAATAGCTGTAAAATGATTGAATAACTGAACATATGTGCCAGTTTTTCAATGCCAGCAATAGTATCTTAACAATAAAACCAAGGTATAAACTGGTTTCAACTGTACCCCCATATTCAATCCGAACAGTTAAACTTGGACACTGATAAGTGGGAATGTCAACTAAATGACAGGCAAGCCTTTCATTATCGTTATCAACGCATGATACATGACTTCACGATAGAATTGCCTAACCTACTTCACAATAAAAACGTAACTGGCGGGGCTCTTGAAATTGACAAATGATGTGCATGGCTGACAGCTATAATTCTAGAGAATGAACCATTCTTTCTAGTCAACCTTCAAATATTTTCTAAATGATAATTTTAGAGTCATAGTGTAATTTAGTTAAATCTTTCTAAAATGTACAAAAATATTCACTCAGCTAACTGGATTCTAACCTTCAGTTTTGTTTCTAAAATTGATTCACATTGCCAAATCTTTTACTCAAAACAAAGAAATGCATCTGGCCTGTTTCTGGAGTGCTAAGATTTCTGCAAGCTAAGTCCTAAGTGTATTAACTAGACTAGCCTAGTAAGAATACCTCCATTGTCTTTCCAGTTACAATAAGAATGTAACAGTTTGGGGTCTATGAACACAAGAACATCTGTACTCAGGTGATGGTGACTCGTCAGTCTCTGGACCTCTAGAATAAACTCTACACATGCTCTGTTGCAGCATTAAGTATAACTGCTAACTCTTACAGGGGCATGTGATCAACAGTGTGGAGAGAAAAAAATTAAAAAGAAGCTCCACACTTTTCTGTTTGGCTCTAATTATTATGTGCCTAGATTTAATTAGTGGGATCAGACTGGCTCAGGGAAACAAGCACACACTGGTGCGTTCCAGGCAGCACAGCGCTCACAGCAACGCTCTGCCATGACTAACCTAAGACCTTCCAATTCCTGTATCCAAACAAACAGGAACCGCAGCAGAGCACTGGTCAAAGCAGGTGCTGTTTCCTTCCAGTCTAAGAAGGGAATGGAACCCAACTGTAATTCTCCAAAAGGAGTTTTAGTGATTAAAAAGCAGTTAATAATTTTAAGTAGCAAAGCCTGACAAGTCTTGTTACTGAACAACCTCTTTCCTCTCTTTGTGGAGTTGTATACGCACCACTCTCACCCTTCCTACTCTTAGGTGGCCCAGAATTACTGTTTCTTCTCAATTGAGATGCAATAGCATCCCTGGTCCAGGGTTAAGGTTATTCATAACCCAGGTTCTGTAAACTCCTATTCATTCTACAATTACATTTCAATATAAGATATGGGGTAGGAACAGACAAAGCAGAGGCACCAAACCCTGCAATGCATCATACCTAGGCTTTGGGCATCCTCCTGTACTTTATTTCACTCAACTCCAACTTTAGCAACAGGTGATCAGGTTTCTATTACTGAATAGGAGCAGACATTAGTGGAGGTCTACTGTAACACACCAGGCACCCAGACAGGACTTTATACTAGGCTCTCTTGTTTAATCCTCATGAGAAAATGTGACGTTTTAATCACTCCCCACTCTGCAGACAAGGAACTTGAGGGTTCAGACTAATTTAGCCAAGATGTACTGTTACAAGTAGCTCAACTGGGATTCAAAAATAATCTTTGGCTCCCACACAACACCACCTCGTCCTACTCTGCATCATCCAGATACAGTACTGGACTCCACAGTTAAGGAAGTACTGTATAATACCAACATTTGCAGGAGCTGTGACCTTTCTGTGTGGCTGAATCCATCGCTTTAAATAATCACAGAAAGCTCATGAGGAGAGCACTATTTGTGTTGCCTAAAAGGATTAAGTAACTCATCTAAGATCACACAGCAGCAAAAGGCAGAAGCCAGGCCTCCTAAGTCCTGGTCCAGGGCTGTCTTCACCGCACTGGAGAAGGAGTCACTCTGGCTGCCAAGCCCACCCACTCCTGTAAGTCAAAAGCTTTTCAAATCCTACCTTCTATAGGTGGCACGGTGTTGAGAACACAGTAGGTGCTAGTTCCGCAGAATACACTTTGGGAAACGCTCTAAGGAAACAGAAAATAAAATGTAAAACTAATCTTTGAAAGAGACATATTCTGGCTCTTCTGTGATATTCCTGCTGAAGATGCAAAACCTGAATCTAAACCATGAGGAAACATCAGATAAATCCAAAACATGGGCATTCCACAATGTGACTGGCCTGAGATCTTTCGTGTCAAGGCTTCGCAAGTGAGAAAGACTGAGAGTCACTGACAGCCATCTGTGACCAAGGAGAATGAAGAGGCTACTAAACATGCACCAGGGTTCTGACTGAATTATTTTTAACAATAGTCAAAAGTGAAATAGGATTTGGGGACTGGATGTTAGAACTGTCTCAATGCTAATTTCTAGGTTATGACTGCTGTAGTTAGGAAAGACAAGGCTCTTATTTGTGAGATATACACAATACAGCATTTAAGAGTGGCGAAGACATTGGCATCTGATCTACAAACAGCTCAGAGGTAATAGTGCTTTGCACTGTAGGCTTAAGAGCACTTCCAAATTTAAGACACACGTGGAAACACGAGAACATGTACTACCTGTGTGGTTTTTATTAGAGTACACATGTGCTGTGTACAGAATAAACACAAAAGAAGCAACGTCCATGACATCCTCATCTGCAGTCACTATCAACATTATTAACCATGTTCCAGCAACACACCCAACACTTCATTCATACAAAAGACTCAACTGAGCACCAAACAGCATTATGTAGAGAAACAAAATGAGCAAGTCAGAAGACATGGGCTCTGCTCTCAAGTCACTTCATTCAAAGAAATCGCAAGTGTTCATACAAAAACATATACAGGGAAAACTTAAAAGGAGAAAAAAAATCTGGATCTCTCCAGTCAATTATTTTCAGTCCTAAGAATGACTTCTTGTTTGGCTACAATACTAATTGAGACTCTTAGATTATTGGTCATATATTATAAACAGCTCATTTTTTACTTGGAAAAAACCAAAGACAGTTTCCAGGTCAACAGCTGAAGTACAGACTCCAGTTCTGTCACTTACTAGCTGTCCCTGGGAAGTCACTGAGCCTCTGTATCACGTCACCACAGAAAGGCAGGATGGCACTCTCTCTGATGGCACTCCCCTCTCCTATCTCCTTCAAAGTAAGAGAATTCAACTATCACACCACTTTCACCAAACACCACTGTTACTATGTTAACAAGGATAATTTTAACATTTTCTAAGAGCACAGAAGTTGCTTGACTGAACTGGATGGATTCTATGAATTTTTCCTTTTCCTCTCCCTTCCAGCTGCGATAACCCAGAGCCTCAGAAGTAACTACAACAGAGCTTTCCCATAACACAATTCCTACCCTCGGAATAGCTACTGGCTCCTTAAGTTTTCTCTTCAGTGTCTCTGCAAACCTCCCCATCTCACTCTAACATCTCCAAGTTAGCCTACTAGCCAGCCACACAGAGATGGCTGTTTCATATTCAAAGCTTATTTTCTGCCTATTACCAAAAATAATTAGCATTAAAGGTATGGCTACCTAGGACATCTTAACCGTCTCAAGTCAAAGGTTTCAAAATCACTAGTGTTTGATGAGACACACTAACATAAATGGCCGTATAAAAAATGGGTTTTCACATCTAGCTTCCAAGTCTGAGAGTAACTTAGTGGTAAAACATCCCAAATGGCAACACAGAATTCCAACCCTGAGAGCACCATGACAGACACTATGGACAGAACTCAACTACACCTCCTTCACAGCAATGGCTTCAGAAGGTTCCCAGCTGATTTAAGCACAAAAGAACTTGCATAACATGGAAGAAAAACTTTATGAATCTTAAAACTTTATAAATCTTAACCTCAAAACCAGCCCCAGGTTCTCAAAGCAGATAAACGATGGCACAAGACAATGGGAAAAACACAAAACAGCCACCTTGACTAGACTCTCCTGTGCCAGGCCCTGCTCAAAGGACTTTCACAAGACTGCACGAGTGCCATCTCCAAATGCCTCTCTGCAACAGTGCAGTGGTTTGGCCAAAGGAAGGAGTGCTAGTCTGCAGAGCTGGAGCCATCTTTCCTAGTTCCCACTCACTGCCAACAAGTCAAGACAGATTAACCCAAAAGGACAGCACTACAGAAAACCAGAAGTATGGGTCCAAGTCCTCCCACAGCTGTGTGTGTCCTACTGCTCCATGGGGCTGTCAGGCCTTCAGGAAGCCTTTGGCCCCAGGATTAGGCAGCCCTGGATATAGGGGTCAGAAACTGCCTATTCCTCCCACAGCACACATCTCTTTACTCCTTCCATTTGGTCTACAAATAAGAAAGGAGCACATGCCTTATGCCAGACAGTTGAAGGAGCTGAGACCCAACAGTGAACAAGGGCACCCTGCCTCCTCAGGGGACACTCTAGAAGGTCAGGTAAACTGACCCTAAGTGGGTTCTTTAAATCACCATGGTAAGTGCACACTATTGTGAGAGCTTGTAAAGGACTGTTCTCCACAGCTCCTGAATGTGTCACTTTGGAAATGTAAAGACAGTGCTTGGTGACAATCATGGAGAAACCTGAATTCCATTTTAACCAAAGCAATGGGTCTTGGCCACAGGTGTCAACTTGGGAAATTTAAAATTCTGATGTCCAGGATGCAATTCTGATCAATGAGGGCAGAATATTTAAGGAGACCTATCTAACCATCTTTTGTGCACGTTCACAAAGGACCCCACAGTGGGAAATAAACAGTTGGGTGACTCTGGACAACCACTCTAACTTTCTGTTTCTTCAAGTCAAATGGGAGTGTGAGCTTGAATGAGACTTCTCCTACTTTCCCTTCACACTGGTCATCTGAGGGCTTTGTTCAAACCTCAGTTTTGATCCATGGGTCTCTATGGAGCCAGAAATTCTTCTCTAATAAGCCCCATAAGACACCAATGTCATGATTCATGCCACACCTTGACTATCAGGAACCAGATGACCAACTTCGGAGACAAGGAGTTAGAACTCAGATCCTCTACTCCTGGCACTCCTCAACTGCCTAATTCTATGGACTAAAAATGTACAGACTTTGATAATTTTTTTAAAACGATGCCAGAATATACAAACAACAAGCACGGTATCTGCTGAAGTACCCAAGAGGAGCAATGCCTACAGAGGCTACACTATGTAGGTGAAGAGGCAGTACTGAAATCAATGTAATGAGAACAGCAGACACGGATGTTTTGGGGCTAAAATGACAGCTGTGTAAATGCAGAACTACCATTGCAGTAAGTAAGAACAGGGCAGGAACTGTCTCCCTCACTGTGTCTTTTCATAGAGCCTAGGTCAGGATGTTATACACAGGCACTTTCGCCATATGCGCACAGTCTTTGGATGAATTAATAAAATGCTGTACAGTAAATGACTAAAGGCCTTGAAAGAGAGAAGTGACAGGAAGAAAGCTCTTTATAGCCTTTGCAGTAAACACCAAGAATGTTAAAGCTAGCTAGCTAAGGGTCCACAAAGCTTATTAAATCAAAAGGGAGAGCAGCTATATTAAATGCAGTAAGCCACTGTCCCAATTACAAGTGATACATTAAACATTTTTGTCACCTGCTCTATCAAGACCTGCACTGATTCTTGAAAACCCAGTCACTGCATATAAGTAATCAGATTAAACAGAGTAACGGCTAGCACCTCAGCAGTCTCACAGAGCATTCTAGGCATAGCATCTCATGAGTAAGGCAAAGTAAGTTATAAACTATGTTAATAAGCCCAAGTACCATCAATAGCTATATTAAGTATATGCCAAAGTCCGGAACAGGTGTCCCTGTGTCCCTCATCTCCAAGCAGCAGCTCTGGTATCCACCCCCTTCTATCCCATGGCAGGGACTTCCTGGGTCTCTAAGCTCCTCTGCACTGAGACAGATGAGATGGTACAGATTCATGCCCAGACACACTAGGAGCCAGGCCAGAAGAGGCTCACCCCCTGCTGTCACTCCACTGGTAAGAACTGACCACAAAGCCATTCCTGACTGCAGTAGAGAAAGGCTTAGAAAAGAAAACAGGTTCAAGGCCCACTAGCAATCTCAGACAAATGCCATCTGTAAACTGCCTTTAATTGCAGAAGACTCACTCCTTTCAGAATGTCTTCAACTAACCTAAAATGCCACCTTTAATCCCTAGGTCACTCTCCATCTAAAGGCAATCTAGCATTTTTTCTTCCCTGATAAACATTTTCTAACATACTCAAATCTGACTCTGTATCAAGGGCATCCTTGAAGGGCTGTCTGTCCAGCCTGTTCATTCCATTATCTGCAGTGCTTGCTTCATTCAAAGTCTGCCACATAAAAGAAGGGTGGGTATTTGTGGCATTTATAAATGATCACCATTTCCAAGAGTTCATGGAAAGGAAAGTGTAATGCCCTGGGCTTTACTCAAGGCCTTCTGCCTCTGCTAACACAGCCCTGCCACACCATACCACGCAGTTCCCAGACAGTGCTCTGAGGTACTGGCTCTTGGCACTCCTGCCCCACATAACAGCAGATCAGTAGCCATGAAGTCTCAGTCCAGTGATGTTGTGGATATTTTTTTAGAACAGGTCATATCTCTTCATTCATTCAAGAAACTGGGTAAAATGAATTGTCACAGACACTAAGAGCCAATATTAATTTTTGGCTACAATACAAGCCGGCAAAATAAGAAAGTGCAAGGTTTGTCAAAAGACACACTTTGGAGACACTCCATGAAACCAGGTTAATGACATCTGAGACTGAAGAACCAATACAAGATGCTTTATCCTTTTCCTGAACTACAAAGGTCAATGGGGGGGGGGGGGGGGTCTGTATGTAGGACAGAACAAAAATACTTTGAGCTTATCTATCTCACCACCTTTCACACAGTCTGAACTACCCTAAGGGCTACAGTTCTACAGAACCCTCCCACACTCCAGAAGGGCAGAGACAAACCAAGGCAGACACCTGTGCTAAAAGGGCTGTCTAGATGATAGCTCTTCCTCCTCCCAGCAGGCAAAATAAACCAATGAGACACCAGCTGCTAAGGAAGCTGGAGAA